TTCTTATTTGGGCCCGTGGTACATGAATATTTACAATGCATATATATATATAAATTTGGTGCCCCTCCTTTCATTTGGGCCTTGGGCCGTAGCCCATGCTGCCCTGGGCCTGGGTCGGCTCTGATGCAATGCAACCAAAGAAGGGTAAAAGTTAGATGTGTTTTCATTCTAAAAGATAGTTTGCTTTGTTGCTAAACTGATCTCATTATTCTTCAAATACCTACTTTCATAATTTTTATCTACACAAAAGACATCATTTTTTTTTGAACTTTTTGAATGTCCCTCTGAAACAAAACGTCTATGTGAAACATATTGTCTACTTGGTTCTCTTATAATTAAAGAGTTTCATTAAACTTGTATAGGATTTTTATTTTCTATCAATGTTTTTCCTTCAGCTATATCAATAGCCCAGTGTTCTAGATGTGTTAACTCACAGAAGATTTTTTCTTCTACAGAACCTATGTCTGCAAAGACATCTTATAGTTCAATATATGATTTAATTTTTCTATATTATATGCTATGTTGACTATTAATCAAAGTATAACTTATAACATGTGTAATACTAAAAACTTTGTCTCCAGGGTTCATTAAGTTATCTTTTTCAAAATGATGAATGAAAGATAAGGTTATCTAAATTTGCAGTCTGGATAGACATTCCAAATTTAGGATAAACTGTGAAGATAAACTTACCATAGACAAGATTTCCTCTTGCTGCACCTATGCAATATTTTCTATCATTAATTCGATCATCAATTAATGCCATTTTTATAAGGGTATCAATCCCTTCTTGAAACTCAGCTTTGAGCAAACTTTTTATTGCTCCAAAATGGATTGTTGAAATTTTATTTCTTATGGAAGATGGTATTTCTTTAATTTTTTTTCGTATTTCTTTTTTCGAAACGATAGATATCATTATAAAACTCATAAGAGAACAACATTCCAATACAAAGGGGATACCCCAATCAAATCCTGAACTAAAAAGTGAGAGGCGCATCTACAAGATGGCCTAGAACCTCAGCTAAATAAAATAAAACTAAAGAGAACAGGAAACCATGGCCACTGCCATAAGGCCTAGCATTAATCTCCTGCTCCAACCCAACTACTAAAAAACACCAAAAAACCAAGAGGAACAAACTGAAAGCTAAAACCAGAATTACATACACAAAGCACAAAGCTAATAATACCAAACTAACACTGAACACTATCCCATCTTAATGAACAGAAGAAAATTCAATCCAATCCGCATGAGCTGATTTCAGTACTAATGGAATAGGCACAAGGTTATTCTGAAAAATCCACAAGTTACGGGTCTTCCATAACCACCATAGCAAGTAAGTAGTCAATTGAATTTTGTGGTTAGAGACCTCTGATTTAGCAATGTAACAAACCTGTTGCCACCAATGTTAGAAAGATGATTCAAAAAGTGATAATCCATCCCAGGAAATTGGAGCCCTCTCCCATAAACTTTTAGCTCTGTTGCAAAAGAACATCAGGTGTTCTACAGTCTCAAGTGCATCTCCACAACTTCTGCATCTACCTTCAAGCTCCAGTCCTTTCTTCTTCAAATTGGCTAGAGTAGGCAGAGTGCCATTGAGGCATTTCCACAAGAAAAGCTTGAGTTTGCCAGGGATATGCAAAGACCAACTCCTCTGAAGGACATTTTTCATAGGAATAACATTGGAGCTGCTCTCAGGTTGATCCATAGATAGAACCTTCTGCAAGACCAGGTGTTTATATGTGCTAGAGACTGAGAATTCTCCTTTCCTATCAATACCCCATAAGAGCCTGTCATTAGCATTTGGCTTCAAAGTTTTGATGGCTAATATTGCCTTACTGTCACCAGCAGAAAAAACCTGTTCCACAAGCCATTGGTTCCAGTTAAGCCCATCAGCAAGCATCAGTTCATTAACATAAAATAGATGACCTCTGGCCAGCTCTAACAATTCAGGCCTATTCTTGTCAAGGTTTGGAACCCAGTTGAAGTCAGTAATTCTAGTTTGCAAGCCACTTCTGATTTCAATTTTCAAACACTGTGAGAATACAGGAAGAACTTTAAGCCAACAGCTCCATAGCCAAGAGTCTTTGTGTGATTTGACTGTTTGAACCAAAGAAGTGTTGGGAAAGTACCTATCCTTCAAAATTCTGCTTACAAGCAAGTCAGGCTGAGAGATTATTCTCCATAACTGCTTACAAATCAAAGCAATGTTAAACAGTTTGATATCATGAAATCGAATCCCTCCATTTAACTTAGGTACTGTCAATTTAGACCAACTCTTCCAGTGAATACCATTTGTGCTATCTTCATTGGTTTTCCACCAAAACTGAGCACACATTTTAGCAATTTCTTTGCATATACCTTGAGGCAGCATAAAACAGGACATTGTAAGAACAGGGAGAGATTGTATGACAGCTTTTAAAAGAACCTCTTTACCAGCCAATGGGAGAAGCTTGGATTTCCATCCTTGCAGCTTGCCTTGAATTGAATTCAACAGGTAAGCAAAAACCTCCTTCTTAGACCTGCCAATACCGAGAGGCAACCCCAAATATCTAGTTGATCCGTGACATTGAATGCCATTTAGGGCAGTGCACATTCTTTGCTTAATATAAGAAGGTGTATTCCTACTAAAGAAAATGGCAGATTTTTGCAAATTAACAGCCTGACCAGTGAAAAGCCTATATTTGTTCAACAAATTCAAGAGAACCTCAACTTGATCAACACCAGCTTTACAAAAAAGCAATGAATCATCTGCAAACAACAGATGAGAGAGAAGAGGACCATTCCTAGAAAGCTTCATCCCATGCAATTGACCAGAATTCACAACATCCCATATAAGAGCAGAAAATAATTCAGCCAAAATAATAAATAGATAGGGGGATAGAGGATCCCCCTGTCTAATGCCCCTAGAAGGTTTGATGAACCCACTCACAGCCCCATTGACTTTAAAGGAGATTGTAGATGATGAAATACAAACAAGAATCAACTTCACAAAGTCCATATGAAAACCCATTTGAATCATGATTTGTTTGAGACTATGCCACTCCACCCTATCAAAGGCTTTCACAAGATCCAATTTGAGAGACATGAACCAGTTTTTACCAGTAGTGTGCCTGTTGAGAAAGTGAAAGGCTTCCTGGGCAATAATCACATTGTCCATAAGCTGTCTCCCTTTCAAAAAAGCAGACTGAGAATTGCTGATACAGCTATCTAAACAGAGTTTCAGTCTTCGAGCAATAATTTTGGATAAAACTTTATAAACCACTGTACATAGACTGATTGGTCTAAACTGGTTCAAAGAGCCAGGCAGAGGACATTTAGGAATCAGAGAAAGGACTGTATGGTTCCAATATTGTAAGAGTGCCCCAGATTCAAAAAAACTCTGAATAGCCATGATAGAATCAGATTTAATTACCTCCCAAAAATGTTGGCAGAAAAGGGCATTCATACCATCTTCTCCCGGGGATTTGTCAGGGTGGAGACTGAATAAGACATTTTTAATTTCTGACTCATCAACAGGTAGGAGCAAAGAATGATTCATATCTTCTGTAATAGACTAAGGTATCAGGTGAATCACAGAGTCACAGCCTATAGAGCCTTCAGAAGTAAACAGATTGGAGTAAAAATCAGCTATGTGGGATTCTATTTCCAATTGGGAGCTGAAAACTTCACCTCTAGAAGAGACCAGTCTTGTGATTGCATTCATTCTTCTCCTCTGTTGTGTGTAGGCATGGAAAAACTTGGTGTTTCCATCTCCCTCTTTAAGCCAGGTTAGTCTTGACTTCTGCTGCCAATAAGATTCTTCCAGAAAATGTGCACTATTAAGCTCTTGTCTTACTTTGGCCCATGTTTCCCGTTTATCATCAGAAGGATCTTCTCTTAAAAGTTCCAGCTTTTTAGTCAAAGCTAAAATGTTCCCCTGATTCTGAGTGTGAAGAGATGAGCTCCATTGGAGAAGAGCAACTCTGGTAAGCTTGATTCTTTCCTTGAGTTTGAAAAAAGGAGTACCCTGCACCATAGTAGACCAAGCTCCCTTCACCACTTCAGTGACCCCATCCATGCTAAGCCATCTCTTATCAAAGCTAAATCTCTTTGCCTTTCTGCTTGCATCATTCTCCAGTTCAATAAGAAGTAAAGAGTGGTCAGAAGAGCTCTTGACCAAATTATGAATTCTGACATTAGGAAAAGACCGCAACCATTCTATAGACCCAAACACTCGATCCAGTTTTTCTTCTCCCCTCATTCTGTCTATTATTGCACCAAGTGAACTGATATCCAACCATATTCACTTCCTCCATCTCCATATTGCATATAAAATTGTTGAATCCAGAAAAGCTGCTATTGTTCCTAGTTACTCCTCCACTCTTTTCCACATTAGATCTGATAGCATTCCAATCTCCAGCCATGAACCATTGGTTGCCCCATTGCAGCTTTAAGGATTCAAGGATAAGCCACTGCTCTGCTTTCTGCACTCTACAGGTACTGAGGTATACAAAAATGCCCCATTGCTTGTCAAAAGAAGGATGTTGAAACTCCACTGCTATGAAAAAACTTTCACTTTTAATCTGAATAATGGTAATAGAGCTGTCCCACATAAGCAATAGACCACCACTTAAGCCTTGAGGGCTAACAATAGCTGATCTGTCATCAAACCCAAGCTTCCTACTGACAGACTTAACAAAGGAGTTGCTTTTTTAGTTTCTGAAATGAAAACAAAAAGTGGATGGTGAGACTTTAAAGTCTCTTAGATTTGGGAAACTGTAGAGGGCCCACCCAGTCCTCTACAGTTCCACACCGCAGCTAGCATTGGTTACTTGGGTGCCATTCTAGGCTGGCCTCCCCCACCTTTCCCTGAGTCTGCTTCAATTTCTTATTCAATGATCTCCCGACAAGTTGTTCCTCTTCTTCTTGATCTGATTCTGGAAAGTTAATTCTAGTTCTCTTATCCCCCAAAAGACAGATAGCTTTTTCCTCAGAGGGTTGTTGTCTCTGTAACCTGCCTGATTTAAAGCTGGTTCTCCTCCATGTTTTGGATGTTCCAATACTGATTCCCCTAATAACCTGCATTGGTTCAGTTGAGATGGGATCTCCTTCAATTTGTGTATTAATCTCAACCTCCATTCCATTCAGAATTTCCTCGTTGCCTGAAACTGCATTAATTGATATCTTTCCAGCTGGAGCTGGATTTCTTGGAAGATCTAAGGGATGTAAAAGAGAGTCCTCCTTCAAAGAGTTGGATGCAACTGTATCAGCTCTATTTTCAGTGATAGGATCTGTTGAAAAAGGAACTACCTGGTTCCTAGCAATGAGACTACTACGAGAATTCTGATTTGTTTCATCATTATCAGGCACAGAAGATCTCCCAGACCTAGGAGAATGTTTGGAACCAGAGTTATTGATTTCCACCCAATTAGATCCTTCTGCTGCCTTCATCCAATCACCGAATTGGCCTCCCTCACTGTTTTATTCCGAATATCCTCAAGCCTCTTCGTGCAATCTCTATTTAGGTGCCCAATAAATCCACAATAATGACATAAATTGACAAGTTTTTTGTATTGGAAGCTGACCTTAACAATTTGGTTACCCAATCTGATAGATGCACATCTAGGTAAAGCTTCATTGAGGTCAATAGTCACCAGCAGCTTTAGGATCCTCCCTCCATGATTGCCTGAACTAACTAGCACTACATTGTTTACCTCCTTGAATATTTTACCCACTTTAAGTCCAACATCCGTACTTAACCAATCTAAAGGAATGTTCAGAGCTTGGACCCAAAGATTTAGCTGATGAAATCCACTGTGGTTCCCGGAAATGTTATGCTCCCATTCTCGGAGAATTAGGTACTGATTTTCGAATATCCAATTTGTGCCTCTGGCCACCTTCTTTAAATCATCCCTAATCTGAAAAATAAACTGGAAAAAATTAGGCCCTAGCTCCTTTACCTCCATGGTCTGCTTTAATTTCCAAATATGAGACATCGTGCGTTGAACACCAATCCAGTGTGCTTTTCTGTCCCCCACAATTTTCCCGAACAAACTCCTTTGACATTCATCAGCACTTAAACGGATATCACTTGTTTCCAAATCAATCAGTGTAGATTCCTTATCTGATAGGGAAATACTATTGAATTTTTGGGCAAGGTCATCGTCTTTTCCCACTTCCCTGGACTCTTCCATCTACCCTAGATCGACAGCTGGGTTCCGACCAAAGAAAGGAGATACAGGATAATACCAATAGACGTGATCAGAATTATCAATAACTAAACACAGAGAGACAATGAAACAACAAGAAGATAAATCTGAGAATTGGGATCGCTCTCAACGAGAGAATATTTCGCTCTCAACGAGAGAATAGCTTTTTCGTATTTCTTCTTTAGTAATTAAAGGCAGATATATTGTTCCTTTAACATCTCTTATGTCTTCATGCAATTCTTGTGTGTCAGCAAAATAAAAGATTTCATTTTTTCTTTTAGGCTAGGTTTGGATTGATGGATTTATTGATGGATTTTAAATCTATAAACTTTAAATTTACAAGTTCAATTCTCCATGCAAGTTGGGATGGTAATAGAAGTTGGAGGATATCAAATTCATGTTAGATACTTTTTAGTCATTATTTTGAAGGATTTTAAATGACTCATCAAACATAGTCATTTAAAATCCACTGTTTATTATCATCGACGATCACGCCATCCGCGATCATTTTGGTTCATCACCACTGCGAGCCAACACCATCTGAGCGAGCTAGACAATTGATTTATAATATTTTCAATACATCTATTCAAGGAGTATGCAAGTAAAAAATTTATATTTCAAAAATTTCGAAATCAAGGGATTTCAAATCCCTCAAAACAAACATAGCCGTAAAGAAATTTAACATTGAGATGTTAAAAATTTCTTCCTTTTTGAGATTTAACTTGGATTTTTGAATCTTTGTCAAAACATCATGTTTTATTGCTAAACTAGCTTTAAAACCCTTTTCATTTTCATTATATGAAATTTATGAAAGATCACTATTAAGACATAGATCTTGTTCTACATCTCTGTTTCCATTATTCGTATTGGAATTCTTTTTCCAAATAGGTTTTCCAACTGTCTCCACTTTAAGATGGGATCACGAATATTGGTATTCCCCATTCTGAATGTTAATTACGTATTGGAAACTGAATTCAGAAAATATTGATCGAAAGATTTATTATCCAACAGGATTTTTCTTTGATATCAAGCTCTGATACCAAGATTTTTAGACGGGCTGATTCTCGTGTGGAATTCGAGACAATTTATGTTTTCAAACGGTTGCCGTAATTAACATCCCGTTTGGAGTATGCACGTAAGAGTAGGATTTCTTTGATATCTTGTTTGAGACAATTTATGTCTTCAAACACTACTCTTACGTGCATACGCCAAAAATCATTGTTATCCATGGCCAAATTAAGAATTTTTTTGTTCTATCGATTAAGACTTAAAAAAAAATTCCTTTGGTTCTAAAACCTTTCTTCTAAGAGTTCTCTTCCTATGACGCATATTAGTAATTAGAGTTTTTAATTTTAGAATTCTTATCTTTATTGTGAAATCATACATTTTGTGTTTCTTCGGTAGTTCTTGTATTGCTCATTACCAATGCCGAGGACGCCTCTGCTTACTTTTTCCCCTCCTGGTACTTCTTTAGCTCAAACGGCTTTAGTCCCTCCAAGCGCTCCGGTGATTGTGGCATAAGAATTTCGGCTAAACAAACAAAGATATGTTTTATTTCACAACAAGAAAAAGAATTCTCGGCTAGAAACCCCTCGATAAATCTACGATAATAACCTGCCAATCCAAGGAAACTACAAACCTCAGACGAATTCTTAGGTACTGACCAGTTCTGAATTGTAACAATCTTTGCCGGATCAACTTCTATGCCTCTTTCCGTGATAATATGGCCTAAAAATGCCACATTCTTTAGCCAAAATTCACACTTAGAGAACTTGGCATATAACTTCTCTCGTCTAAGGGTACCAAGAACTACCCTCAGATGTTGCTCATGTTCTTCCATACTCTTGGAATATACCAAAATATTGTCAATAAAGACAATAACAAATTGATCTAAATACTGATGGAATACTCGGTTCATCAAATCCATGAATACTGTTGGTGCATTACTTACTCCAAATGGCATAACCACGAACTCGTAATGTCCATATCTTATTCGAAACGCAGTCTTGGCTACGTCAGATTCTTTAATCTTCAGTTGATGATAGCCTGAGCGTAAATCTATCTTTGAAAATATGCAAGCTCCTCTCAACTGATCGAACAAATCATCTATCCTTGGTAGCGGATACTTATTCTTTATCGTTAATCGGTTCAAATCCCGATAATCGATACACATCCTCATGGATCCATCCTTCTTTTTGACGAATAGAACAGGTGCTCCCCAAGGTGAAACACTCGGTCTGATGAAACCAAGTTTCAACAACTCCTGGATTTGAGTCTTCAACTCTTGTAACTCCTTCGGTGCCATTCAATATGGTGCCTTCGACACTGGTGCTGCTCCTGGAACAAGGTCAATTATGAACTCCACTTGTCTGTTGGGTGGTCCTCCGGGTAATTGATTTGGAAACACATCCACAAACTCACAAACAATTGGAATATCGTGAGGTGTTTGTGCTTTCGAATCATCTTCAACAATGCTCACCAGATATCCTTGGCAATCCTCCCTTTGCAGAATCTTTCTTGCCTTTGCCACAGAGATTACTCGTTGTAAGGTTCTTATCTTTGCTCCATAAAAAGTAATTTGATTATCTTTTGAAAGATAAAGAATTACCTCTCTCTCATGGCAACGAATATCAGCATGATAATTTGTTAACCAATCCATACCAAGTATGAGATCGAAGTCCTTCATTTCGATAACATACGCCTCTAATGCCAAGATTTTTCCTCCAATATTAACACTAAGGTTCTCTACTTTAGAGCTTATCTCTATTTTCCTTCCTGAGACTAAACTTACCTCAAGGGGGTCAACTGTGTTAATAAGTTGAACTCCAATTGCGTCTATACATCTCTTTGACACAAAAGAATGTGTTGCTCCAGTATCGAATAATGCAAAAATAAGCATATCATTTAAAATAATCATCCCAGACATGGTACCTGGGTTCTGCTCAGCTTCAGCTTGATTAATAGCATAGACCTGGGCTTGTTGTCCTCCTCCCATCTGCTGCTGAGGTTCTCCCTGAAGCTGCTGCTGCCGCCTTTCTGGAGTAACTTTTTCACAACTTTTACTTCGAAAATATTTATAACTCTTTCGAAATCTTTTGCGACTAACTCGGGATGCTACTCAAACTCATCTTTTCTGAAAATCCGTTTATCTTTAAACTTGGTCTAATACTTCTTTAGACATAAAGAAAACAGATATATATAACTTGCATTTAACTATACCATATTCATACTTCTGAATAGTAAAACTTGAAATCTGAAATTTATTTAAATTGCAAGTTCATGTCTTAATATGCATAGCGAAAATAGTGAAAAACGTGATTTATTATACAGACATATCAAATACTTAATGAATGTCTACTGAAATAAGTGCACGAGTACCACCACCACATCTCGAGCTCACACCTCCAGCCCGACCCTGTTACCTGAAAAACATAATGGGGGTGAGTACTGATCCTCTTGTACTCCATAAAAACCCATACTAAAGCAAACCGCAATAATAATACAATATCATGATCTTTGGTATATATCTGGACTGGAATTCTGTTCCAGTAACTGAAACTGAATCTGGCCGATATCTGATCGGATACTTGTGCACAATCTGATGGATATTTCTCAAGGCAACTCAAGCGGCCTCCATCAGAACTTAGGATATACTCTAAGACAACTGAATGCATTCTCATCCCAAGCGTATAAACTTAAAGTGTATACATACCTCGGACATGATATCAATATTATACTCAATGTAATACCTAGTCTGGGTCCCCACATTTCTTACTTTGAAAAATCGTAAGTGTTGATCTCGAGTAGCTAACTCCTCAAGCTACATAAAAATATATAAACAAATATACTAAGTACTATGCTCGTATACTCAATAAGATGCTCGTATTCTCAACTCTTTCGGATAACTCATCCAAATCTTATAAAAATTTCAATAGTCATGCTATTGCTCAACTTAACTATTCTTGATCTTTTACTCAATCAATTACTTAACTCATCATATATCATATCTCTCAAATCTTATATATTGGCTTATACTCATTTTTCACTTAATTAACTTGAAAGTGAAAATTTCTCAAAACATACGAAACTTTTAGATCATAATTCTCAATTATGATATTAATATGTGAGACATAAAAACAATCTTTATAAAATTATATACTCAACATATCAAACTAGAACTTTGTCAAATTGTTCATCACTTATATGAGAATATTTCATAATAATCTCACTTTAACAACTTGA